AAATGGATGTATCTACAGCGTTTTTAAACGGAGTTTTAAGTGAAAACATCTACATGAGGCAACCAATGGGGTTTCGCAAAGGAACTATAAATCTAGTTTGCAAATTAAAGAAGAGCCTGTATGGACTGAAACAGGCACCTAGATTTTGGTATGAAGTTTTGAATACCTTCTTAAAAACCTTAGGCTTTTTTAGATGCAAGAAAGAGCATTGCTTGTATCTAAAACGGTGGGAGATAAAGGGGGTTAGCACGTCCTTATAGTGTGTGTGTATGTGGACGACCTGACAATTGCAGGATCACATCTAAGTTCTATAAATGATCTTAAAGCTAAGCTGTCTGACAAGTTTACTATGAAAGACTTGGGTGAGTTGCACTACCTGCTTAAAATGGAGATTCAAAGAGACCTTACAAATAAGACTCTACGCCTATCTCAACAAAAGTATATTAACGACCTTTTAGATAAGTTTGAGATGAAAGACTGCAATACTGCACCTACACCACAAGCAAAAGCTGTAGTCTTAGAGAAGGAAAAGACATTGTCACCCGAACAAATAGCGGCACAGTCATTCGACTACAGAGGGTTAGTTGGGTCCTTAATGTACCTAGTTAGGGGAACTAGACCTGATATCGCTAATGCTGTCAGAGAGCTTAGTAAATATCTATCTTGCTATAATAAGACTCATTGGAGAGCGGCTCAGCGAGTACTAAAGTACTTGAAAGGAACGTCGAGGTATGGCATTGAGTACAATGGTAATAGTACTATTAAGTTAGAGCTATACACAGACGCGAGCTTTCGGGAAAGTCCTTTGAAAAAAAGGAAAATCAATTACGGGATATGTATTCATTCTCGCTGGTGCATGTCATTACTGGAAGAGTATTAAGCAAGATTGTATTAGTCTTAATACAGCGGAATCAGAACTAGTCGCCGCTAGTGAAGGAGTAAGAGAAGCAATGTGGTTACGATTACTACTGCAAGAATTAGGCTACGAGCAATTACTACCGACTCATTGTTGGTGTGATAATACGGCCGCAATCAGTATTATTAAGGACCCGTGCAGTCACTCTTCTACTAAGCACATTGATATTAGACATCTATTTGCACGAGATAAACATGAAGATAAGCAAATCAGGGTTACTTATTGTAGCACCAATGATATGATAGCGGATGCCTTAACTAATCCCTTGAGTCAAAATCAGTTTGAAAAACTCCGATTTATGATGGGCGTTAAAGACCTTAAATAAGAGTTCCATAAATAAAGATTGCCATACGTAAGTAAGATTTGGCTTCAAAGATATGTTTACAAGATCAAAGTGGAATTTCAATTATTGGCAGCAAAGTCAGAAATAAAGTTAACAATAAAGGGCACATTTTAGTGTATGGGTTTGGTAAAAGAACGGCTTTAGCCATAAAACCTTGGTTTTACACGTCACCTAGCCCTCTAAAAGTAATTCTGACATGTCCGGGCTATCAGCCCCTTGCCCCAGAGTATATTTTACTCTTTTTAAGTTTAATTCTATCCTGACTGTCTAAATACCACCAAGTAAAAGCACGAATGGGTCAAGACTGGAAAATTCACGGGGTACCGGATAACCGGAACTTTCGCTTCCGCAGTGCCTCCAATGAGCCATTGGCGGATCCGTTTTAGGCGGAAAAAAAAGCCAGGGACA